GATGCAAGTTCGATCCAAAAAAACAATTATTGGACGCTGATGACGTCATCGGCGGAAAATACGTAATAAATGCCGAATACTGAAAATTAGCCGGTGCTTTCTGACCAATTAGAAACGAGAATACATATTAAATGTATAATAAACCCTTTTATTATATAGCAGAGAGCGAGATACTGAGATTACACAGCGACATATTTTCCATATCTTCACTAGTGAAGATATCGATCACGTGACTTTTATTATTTATGCAATTTTTTTGCTTGGGACTATATAATAAACAGAACATTACACTTTGGCTTGAAGATATGACTTTTATCTTCTCGTGTTAAAAGGATAAAAAGTCATATAAAGATAAAAAGTCATATCTTCGCGCCGCCGTGTAATATCCTCTATATGTATGTGAAAATAACTATTAGTAAAACGCTTTACCTCAGTTTTATGAGCAACATCAGCTACAGCTTTAATATCAATTAATTTCAACAGTGGATTTGTAGGAGTTTCAATCCAGACCATCTAAAATTAAATCAGTAACTATATTTACTGCACAGAATTTACTCTGGCCTCATCTTCCTTAGATCTGATCAACAATATCATACAAGTACCGAAGTTCCTGACACCAAATCACATTTTTGTGTTCATTGCCTTGGGCTTAACTGAATTGTATCATACTGTCCGCCTCATGCATCAATAGACTTTTCAAATGTCATTTTTAATTCGCGCAATACTCTTCTCTCAACATAAGGGTCTCAACTTTACTCGCTTGCCAAAAGCTGGGGCAAAATTCGGAGGCGGACTTGTAGAAAGTCTACTAAGTGAATTCTACCATATGAAGTATTGGCATGGGTGGACGACATACATAAATTTATTAATACACAGTGTTAAGGTTGTGGTAGGTTTAGAGTAAGGTTGTTCATATATCGAAAAAGCACTGTTTCACCGTGTTATATATATAGTGCTATAAAAGGAGCACCTTTATTCACTAAGTGTCCGCATTTCAACCATTTTAGTTCCGTTGCTATGGCACAAATGCCAACACGTGCTTCCAGGGCTGAAGAGTGAGGCGGCAGATTACAGTATGGAATAATAGCGATCCCGAGTTCATCAATCAAATTCACAATGGCGATCCCGATATCAGGTACGCCATTTAGAGATCCCGAGATCATTGTCATTAAAGTCACAATATACTGTAGGCAGTCCCGAGATAATTAGTAAAATCACATTGGCGATCTCGATATCAGGTACGTCATTTAGAGATCCCGAGATCATTATCATTAAAGTCACAATAGGCAATCCCGAGATCATTATCATGAAAGTCACAATAGGCAATCCCGAGATAATTAATAAAATCACAATGACGATCTCGATATCAGGTACGTCATTTAGAGATCCCGAGATCATTATCATTAAAGTCACAATAGGCAATCCCGAGATCATTATCATGAAAGTCACAATAGACAATCCCGAGATAATTAGTAAAATCACATTGGCGATCTCGATATCATACGTAACAATACTCATTAACATCTGCGACTTATAATTCCGCAAATAGACACCAGATCCACCAATATGTCCCTCCAATAACAAATACACGCGAGTATAGATTTTGAATATATATTTTCAAATAACTAGAAGTTTGCGGGTTTTCTTTTGCGGTCAATAACCGTACACTAAATTACTAATTATAGTGCTCTCATAATGATTGGCGGTAAGCATCGCAGATCGTTAAACAATCGATAGCTATAATTTGCATTAATTATCAAAGTTATAAAAAACGCACTAAACTTCTAATGATTTCGACCACATCACATATACTTGTTGTAAGAAGGACGCGAATCCAAATCCATTCCTGGGCTACGCAGCAAAGCAAAGCAATGGATCGACGAAGCCGATGTAACAGGAATAACCGGCGTTACCGCCAGAGTATTCGTGATGAACTTATTGAACTGACTAGACTTAGACGTTTCGCCAATTTTGTTATGCAAAACTACCCGGAGATCTATTTGGAGTTCATCCAATGGGAGGCAGAAAACAACCGGGCTCAAAGAAGAGATTTGGAAACATCTATAGACAAAATTTAAGGAGAACTTGGATTGCTAAATGAATTGGAATATTGGATATACCGAAACACGTAAACAAGATAATATCATGCAGGATACACCATGTCAAGAGTACACTGAACTAAATCAATATGGAACTATAATAAGGTGATAACATGCACGCTTATCATACACTATTCTATACTCAGTATTCTGATGTTTTGCAGTTTTGTTTTGTACTGGTATTACCAGGATTTTTAGATGGTACACTCGAACAGACATTTTTAACTAGTTGAACTTTCATGCCTTTCCTTTGATGTAAAACCTTAATAAATTTAAATTGTTATATGGGATATCCACTGTCACACACACAACACATTATGATAATCTATTATTCATGCATGTGCCTCTATGCTTTATTCGTCTCGAATAAGCCTAGGTTTTAGGTCCTCCAGAAACAATCAATGTGAATCTGTTTATTGTATGTGATCGCCATTTTGGAGCAACTTTGTATACAATGCCCGGCCACTTTCAAAATGCCAAATTCCGCAGCGGTCCGTGATGACTGATGTAATCAATGGAAATATTTAACACATGACTTCAACATATCTTGATTTGACTACCATCATGGTCCGCGGTGCTGCAGTCGATAACCACTGTCTACCTCAAACCTGAAAAATCAACCTCCCGACTGCGGATCACAGTGTCACAAACGAAACTTGTGCTTTCAGAGTACCCGGGTATTGTAAAATTTAGCCGCCTTTCAACGCCATGCATAATGAATTTCAACACGAACAATCTTAATTCAACAAAATTTCCATTTCAACCGCACCATCAGAAAATAACAAAGTCGTAAACTCTCTATCACCTTTGTATTGGACTTTATCGCTTGTTGCAATTTATCCACATCTGTCACATCAACCATACTCGTCTCTAGGTTAAATCTGGATGCAACCTTGGAGAAATATCTATTGGTTCCTACAACAATGTTTGGGACAATATTGTAAATATTTTGGAATTGACCTTAAAATATTATCTGAATAGGCCTTGCCTTGTTCAAATTTTGCTGTCAAGCATTAAGCAAACGTTTTCAGCGATAGATTGAGCCTCTTTCACATCGGCCACCTTGACATGCTCGTAACTGTCCTGATTACATGAAAACGAGGCTTAACGTGAGATAACCTAGGTTCTTAAATGTTGGATATTATCATATCTACCTCCATAAACGTCATCACAAACAACCACGTGATCACCAGCACGTAAAAGGTGCGTTAGCGTTGTTAAGGCAGCCAAGCCAGATGCTGTTGCAATGCCTGCAGGGATAAAATGAATGGCAAGTTCTATATTCAAAATTATTTCTTACTTGTACGGTTTGTGAGTTGTAAAACGAAAGGTATGTATAACAGGTCTGTATGGATAAATACAACATTTAGACTTTGCCTAAAGCTTATCCAGTATTTGCCCGGGTCTTCAATTGGTGACACACTTTACCTCCTTCGGCAAAAACCGCAACAGTGATGGATTTTCAAATGCCTCCACATCACATCATTGTTTCCTATTTTTCTAGAGAATTAAAATTTGTGCAGAAGAGATAGCGCCTTAGTCCTTACCATGCTTGGCGTCTTCCAAAGACGCAACACATTTTTCAAAACAATCTCTGGTGGGATTACCAGCTCTTGAGTAATCATAACCCTAAAAATAAAGTGAGTAAACTAAATAAAAATGCAAAATAGAGATGTAACATGTCATGCAGGTAAAGGTGACACAAATAATCGAAACGGTAAATCTGATTCAGTCAGATGTGTCATTAAAGCAACACACTCGCATGGAATTCTACAATGACTATAGAGGGTTTACTATGAACCCATTCAGGGCTGTAACTACTGGGGGGGGGGGGGGTG